AGAACATGCAGTCGGTAAACTCATTAATTTAGCCTTGAAGATTCTCAATGGTCATATGATGGAACGGTGAGAGTAAAATATTTGCTTGAAGCACAAATCTATTGTGTTCAGTGTCATTTAATCTTTACGTCTGGTTTTTAATAAGGGGAAATCACTGTTTATGACATATGATCCTCGAATTATATAATTTAAAGTAGTATATATTAAATTATTTTCTTCGACAACTGGATTGGTGAACATGCAAAAAGTTTGCTTCCGGCGCCTGAAGGTCAGTTATTCACAGAAAACCGACACCGTGAGAATTTGCTGTCGTTACTGCTTTTGTGAGTACAGTGGAATTTTAGACTATACAATTTTATGGATTTATTGCAGTACACACAATCTATCAACATTTATAAGTTTAAATCTTTATGAATAAAGTTATCATTTCTTTAATGACAATAAGACTCAAATAAAACTTCTCAAAAACATCCCATGACACTCTGTTAGAAGGTACTGACCACTTGCTCCATGGTCATGATAACAGTTTGCAGGCATACAAATTTCATCCACAGTTTAGAGCCAGACGGAATGGCAAAACTATTTTTTTAAATTCTCCTCAGAAATAAATATGATATATGAGTCTGATTAGGACCACAATTCCTCCAACCTGGCATTCATTCTACATCTCAGCAAAGAGATTGGTTTAAAACATATGAACCACCTGCCATTCAAGGTTACCATTGCCCTAATAGTCACCGTAGCAATCTTCATAACCGTCCTTATGTCCAGTCAAACAGTCGTTAGGGCGGATCATTGTTGTTTCCGATGCCTTCCGTTTATCGAAGATAAAGCATATTATAATACAATTTTTAAAGTTAATTCCTGCTACGAACGGTGTATTTGTGTTCACGGTGAATCATGTATGGATCGCTGGTTCGGAAAACAGCATCAGTGGTGTGCAAGATATTAAGTTATTAACTGATGCAACATTAGTGATTGTATCAGTTAATAACTTAATGCGATATCTACCAATTTTTTGGCAATGAAAAAATATTCTGAATAATCCGTTACATCTTAATAGGGTCTATTAAATAAGAGCAACGAGACTGATATGATGAACCATATCCGATATGCAGGAATTATCTTTGATGCTAAAATTCACAGAAATTTTCTTATGTAAGTGTTTTACAATAATTGTACTTCGTTATTACCAGCACTACAGCAAAACGGTACCAGGACCTACATGAAATTGTTGCTGACTGTCGCAGGTTCTCGTTGCGCGATTCGCTAAGAAGCTTTTCAAGTAGCTCTCGAGACTTTTTGTTTGATGATTTCTCCTTGGTCAACTGCTGGATATTGCTCTTGAGCTAGAAACGGCGTTTTATCAGATATATAAGTTTAAAATATCACAACGCTATGGTGTGTCAGCTGGCTTAATCGTATTTCGGCGGTTCCTTCATAATCAGATGCAATATTTACTTTAAAATGTGCACCTTTTTATTTGAACTGGGTGTTTCGGTGCAATGCTTTAATGCTGGCTGAAAATAGTAAAACCATCTTCAACGCATCGCATGCACAATAGCGATTTAGTAAGTCCAGCAATGAAGCATTTACCTCAGACTCAGAAATCATGTCTGGGCAGTTTGGACCTCGGTTGAGAAAAGCCTTCAGTCGTGCTGATGCCTGGATTTAAAGGGTGCTTCAGTGCAGTTAGAACGAAAGTGATTTGATGTTTTAAATAGGCTTAGAGCTCTGAAAAAATTGAGCGCTTTGAACTACAGGGAAAGTGAAATTAAGACCTGGAGGATCTAACTGTTGTGTAGCTAGACTTGTGTTTTATAAGGGACTCGCAACCGTAGTCCAAATCATACCGTACAATTTCATAAGGATGCGACGAAACTGCAAAGCCATTCACAAGCACAGTCATTTATTTCATAGTTGATTAATTCATAAGTTAACTTCTCTCGATGATGCTGTACACTTCACTTACTTTGTTATTATGTTTTCCTAGGTTCTCCTGAGAATTATTACTCTTTCTTCTACATGAGCAAAATACACTATGTGCTTCCTTTCATGATCACTTTTCATGTGTTTTAAGCTCTGAGTTCATGGTACCTCCTGAGCTTGAAGATGAGTCAAACTGATAACAGCAGGAGATGCACAAGCTGTCCCCACGTATTGGCATTCGAGCGCTGCTCATAGATAACGAAATCAGGAAGAAAGACGTAATTACGAAGCTGATTCGCCTACGGGTCACCATCAGATAGAAACCGTTCAATCCTGGACGCTCACTGGCCCCATGAATATCAAAACATTATGAATGGGTCCAGATCTGTGATTCTAATGATAGGCATATAAAATGGGCCAAATATAACAGTTATTGCAGCGCAGCTTATACCAAATACTCATTTTTTATTTTCTGACGTCCTGTGAATGATTAATAGGAATAGCCGTATATAAGCTATTTCTACGCTTAATTGGGGTCAAGGAAGGCACGCCATCCATGTCTAATTTTTGCGCTTGCTATACTGGCCATTCTTGCCCCATTTGCACCGGAGTATAACAACCTAAAAGCAGTGGTGATCGTTTCAGAAATTGATTTCTCCGTTAGCATGACTGGCTTGACTGATTGGCGCCTTGTAGATTCACAAACAACAGAAAATGCTCGCTTTTGTGTAACAGAAGTACTCCTTCTTGTACTGCAAAGGTTTGTACACGTGTCACTGCATCGTGAAAACACATGCCTGGAATGGAGCCACAGAAAAACATTACATCAGTGAGTGCGGCAGGTTCGCTTAGCGCCAAACTGGACATCTGCCTTGCAATTCTGTCCCTATTGGGATCAAGACCGCGAGAGGTAAATAACTCACTATGACTTCTGATCCAGAACGAGATAATGGCCGGAAGCCGAAGGCCGGTGCTTCTACGTCTACTGGAAGTGACAAAGAGGAAACAGAAATACCTTACTACGTGGAGCTGCCAAAAAGTTTAGTCAAGAATAATCATTGTTACTAAATCTAGGAAGCTCGTGCTTCTGTCGGAATAGTCGATTACGAGACCACGTGAGACCCAAATGGATCATAGATCAGAGTAATATTTTTCATGCATGGCTCACTACTGAAAACATTTTAACAAAGCCAACTGTAAGTGGTCCATACCTCATTAATCAGTTTCAGAAGCGAGTCCCTTTGTCGAGCAATGGCTTGAACCTCATGTTCCATGCCGCCGTCAACTTCGGTTTCTCTGAACTTTTCAAAGTCTTCCACCAGCATCGTAAACCTACGTTCGCTGTTGTTCAGCTCTAGCTGTAAAGATTCCCGGGAGTCGTTTGCACTTGCAATTTCGCGTTTCAATCTTTGGATTTCGACCTGTAAGCCCTCTTTCTCTTGAGCAATCGTGGCAACATCTCGTGTCAGATTTTCGCACGTTCTGCACCTTTGGCTAAGGTCTTCACGAAAGTGCTTGTTTTCTTCGATTATCACTTTTATTCTGTCATCAGCAGTAGATCGTTCGTGCAAGGCTCGCTCGAGTTCAAACTGCTTCTTCTGCGAAATTCTGCATGAAACGATAAGATTGTGATTCAATAGAAATTAAGGATTTATTCGAAATGTAAATGAATCTTATGTAAAAGATCTGCTAATATAACATTTATAACTTGGGTATAAGTAATTGGGCAACAACAGTATTTCATACATCCGTCTTATCCCTCCTACATCATGAAAAAGTGGAAGATGACATTACAACTAAAACAGTTGCCTTACTCCTTGTATCACGGTTCACCACTAGTCACCTTTTCAAGCTGACTTATCAATCTTCCTGACTTCATGCCCAATCCAACTTTTCCTTGTCCCACCTGTAGCTGAAGTTCACTGTGTGAAAGAGGTAACGATTGGATATGTGTGAAGTAGGGCGCAGAAGATACTCCATTTAAACTGATTACTGGTCTGCCTATGCACTAAGGTTTCTCTATAGC